AACTGGACCTGAAATCATTTTTGAGCAACCAAAAACCTCATCTAATTATATGCATACATTCACCACATAGACAGTAAATTTCTTAATCAAATCATGGATCAGAAACAATAAGTTATAAACCTATTACTGTGTTTGTTTAAAACATAAGCATTTCAGTTTTGTACCTTTATCTTTAACAATTCTCCTTGAGATATCATTAAGAATTTCAGCCACTTGGGAATCATCCATCATTGTTGCTTTTCTGAGTTGAATCAATGCTGCAACCAGTTTTGGGTTGAAAGGCTTTTCATTTAATGCATATCGGATGTATTTTCGCAAAATCTCCACCGTGCTGAAGCCTGTCTGCATACAGAATAAAATGATATCAAAAACTCATTGTCTTTACAAAACTATAATCAATGAATAAACTAGCAGAAGAGGTTGAATTTAGAAAACAAAAGCTTTCCATATTGTAAAGTCCAAAGTTAAATGTATATCATTATCACCTTCTGCATCAGTCCCATCAAAGCTTCCTGCTGTACTCCATTACCTTCTTTCTCAAGTAACTCATCTACTGACCTGCATAGATCTGCATTTTTATTGACCTGAAAAGCATCAAATAATGCTTAGCAAGTTTCTTGTCAAAGGCAATAAATCTTCATCACATACTTTTTAGTCTTGCCAATTCTACATAGATGGAAAGCATTCTACATACTCTTTCCACCCAAATATGCTACAGTTCTATTTTGAGTAACATAATACATTGGATCCCTTTTATTGCCCAATAAAATCACTACAAAAGATGAGTCACAGTCCCAATTTCCAAATTATTTAAGGTCAAAATAACCAAATTTGGAGACACACTTAAGAAGTAGCAACAGAAAACTATATATGGAGACAAATGTAACACTACTATACTATTCCAAACTTTAAATCAAATTATTTAAGTAAGAATAATCACTGCAAATGTACACAACCGAGCAACCCCTAAATGTGTAGTATGTTCACTCTACACATTAAATGTATGAATTTTGAGATGAGTTCTTTCTTGATTGACTGGGTATTAGACTTATTTCATATATATGTAGACATGTATGAAAATACCCTCTTATTCTCAAACTTTTGGAGATTCAAATCCAACACTAACATCAATGAATCTTGTTTGTATGGGCATATGTCCAAAAAGTTCGTCGTTTTGACTTTTTGAGGAGTTGTAAGCAGCTTAAACGGATGCACACAAAGTAAAGTAACAAAGAACAAATTCAAAGCAGGACTGTAATGAAAGTGAAATTGATGCACAAACTCAAACAAGAAAAAAAAGGAGATAAGGAGAAAGCCAGACGCACTAGCTTACGGCGAACTTCTTTGGGTGAAGTGAACTTGCGAATGGTCTTGACAACCGCAAAAACAAAGGAGACTCCAACATAAGCCAAAGGGACAGCCAGAATCCATGGAAAGGAAGTTTGGCCGACTCTTGGACCAGGAAGGGCCTGTGTTACTGAGCCACTAAACTCGACAATGTCCAGAGCTTTCTCTTGTATCCATGGCAAATCCTCCTCGACTTCCTCCAGCTCATCCTCCTCCTTCTTCTCTGATTCTTTAGGGTTTGTATTATTTCTCGCTGCTGCTGCGGTGGACGAAACCAATCGACAACGACGAGAGGAAGTTGATAATAAGGGAGAGAAGGGCGCGTGGAAGGTAGTCAGTTTCAATTGGGAAGATAGGCACTCCGTTGCAGTACTGGTGGTCGGGATTTTACCGAGTATTGACTTCGATGGTGGCTTTGGTGTCAGCGGCGATGGATGGCGGTTGGTGGACGAGACAGCATAGTGATACCCAAAAGCACTAGACATTGCCCCTTTCTCAGGATTTCGTTTATATGAAAGATAGGTTTAATTATCTTGTTCCTCCGATAATTATTGCAGCTAGTGTGTGTCAATACTCTCGCGGTGGCGATGGTTGGATACGGTGGTGCTACTGCTGCTGCTGAGCTGCAAGAATTGGATTTTGGCTTTTGGGCGTTACAACTTACGAACACTGCTTTTGCCGTTTGGGCTTTTCTTTATGCATCAGGAAAAAGTTACTTATGGGCCGACTATCCACTACTTAGTTAGCCATGCACAACCCGGTTTTTTTTTTCTGAACCTGACCGGTTCAGAAAACCGGTTCGGTTCCGGCTAAAGTAGTCAAAACCGGTTCACACCCAAACCGGTTCGGTTCCAAACCGGTTCAGCCCCAAAAATATCCGAACATATGTAAACCGGTTCGGTTTAGTAGAAACTGGTTCAGCAAAAACGGGTTCAAAACCGATTCGACGCAAATAAGCTTTTCTATTTTTTGTTTTTGTTTTTGGGCTTTTTTTTTTTTTTTGGGCTAATAAATTCAAAACCGGATTAAAATACTTGATCAAAAAATCGGTTCAACATCGGTTCAAAACCGGATCAAAAAACTGGTTCTTATTAAACCGGTTCGAAACCGGTCCTAACGATCAAAATAGCGAATTGGTCCAGTCCGACGGTTCGGTTCATGGGGGGTTCGGTTCAAGGCTGAACTGGTTCGGTGGTAAACCGGTTTCCGGTTCACTAACTGGTTCGGTTTGTGAATCGGTTTTTTTGGGCACGTCTACTACTTACTAGTGACTAGACTAGACCACTCCGAATATTCAATTACATGTCTTTGCTCAACAAGAATATATACTTTTATCGATTTTACCACTTAATTCGTTTGTGGTAAATCCAGCAAGCTTTTAGTAATGAAGTTTTTTTCTTTTATCTTCTCTAATGAGGATCTAAATTGAGTTCTTCAACATGAAAGTCAGAGAACTAAAACTCAAAAATTTTAATTTGAAAAGTGTATTTGAGGATCTGAAAATTGAATTCCAAACACGTACGAACTCAAGATCTAACAATCGAGATCTGAAACTCGAGTAATCTTCGAGTTTTAGGGATAAACAAACACAAGCGTGAACGATTTTCAGATCTATGTGTTCTTGGTGTTTGTGTCTGGTGTATTCTTGGTATTTATGTGTGTAAGAGAGATGAGTTTGAAACCAACAAAAAAACAAACAAACAAACAAACCAAAACAATCGATTTTCATATTTGCATGTTCTTGGTGCTTATATGTGTAAGAAAAATGGATATGAAACAAAACACACACTTAATAAGTTTTCCATATATGTGTTATCGATGTTCTTGGTGCTTGTGTATTGTATGTAAGAGAAATGGGTTAGAAACAATCATGCACAAACACACAATCGACTTTCATATATATATATATATATATATATATATATATATATATATATATATATATATATATATATATATATATATATATATATATATATGTTCTTAGTGTTTGTGTGTGTGCGCTTTTTGTTTTTTGTATATGTAAAAGGGATGGGACTGAAACAAAAACACACACAATCGATTTTAAAATTTGTGTCTTATTGGGGGGTGGGTTGTTCTAGGTATTTGGGGGGTGGGTTTGGATCAAATTTGATTCGCTCCAAACCCGTCTCATTGCCATGTCTACCAATACACTTATAGGCCTAAGTACTTTAAAAAATTACACGGTCATTTTAACTTTTTGAAATGTCCAATATTCAAAATTGAAATAATATTAATTTGATAAAAAAAAAAAAAAAACTTTGGCAATTTCACAAAAACATTGTTGTTTATATCATTATTTTTTAATGTATTCGCAAATATGTTTGTCATTTCTAAAATAACATTTACATTTCAGTTATTTTCGTTAAATATCTTTTTTTTTTCCCGAAAATGTGTCAGTCATATTCATTACGATGTCAACCAAGTTTCTTAAAAAATGGTTAAGGATTGAGGAACAAGAAGGGTATTAATGTAAGGCATAATGTGCTAATGATGTGCAAGAAACACAGACAAAACGACGTTCGCATAACAAGATCATCCCCAAACGATAACTGAAATATAACATACTAGGCGAATACTCGCACATTGCGCAGAATACAATAATATATTTGGAATTTTTACAAATATATGTTTTTTTTAATATATCAATCGCGTTGTTATTAACTCTTATATAATAAATCTTATAATAAGTTGGTATAAACATTATTTGTTTTGAATTATATGATAATGTAGATATATTTTAAAATTCTACAATCCCGATTGTCTCAATAGCCTCTATTTGTAGTTTACTCATAAGTAAAATTAAATATAATATAAGGTTTAATGATATTTATAGTTGTTGTTGATTAATTAATTTTGAAATGTTTATTTGCTTAAAATTTCAATTTCTATCATTGTAATTATTTAAAACATCAAACATTGTTGTTGTAAGTAATTTTTATGTATAAAGTTACTTTTAACTATTATTGTTGTAAGTTATTTTAAATAACGCATTTGGAAACTCTTAATTATTTAAAACTGGTTTTAGAAATTTAACATTTTTAAAATTTTATTTGATAAATATTATTAGTTTCTTTGATTGTAATTATTTAAAACAACAACCAATGTTTTTGTTTTTAAATATAACATTATAATTTTTTATATAATATTATTTTTAACTAATCTTATTGTAAATTATTTTTAAGCTATTTATTTGAAAAATTTTAATGATAATAAAAAATAGTTTCATGATTTTTTTGTTTGTTAATTTAGTATTACAGTTTAGATTTAACACTATAATTTATAACGTTTAACTATTTATAAAATCGTTTCTCGATTTTTTTCAAATTTAACTTTAATTTTGATTTAAGTTAACCGTTTAACATTATATTGAAAATAATAATTTAATAATTTTGCATAAAATCATAAATATACAAAAATTGTGATTTTAAATTGATAATTATTCACATACGAAAACATACTTAAACTAATAAGTTAACTATAATATGTTAAAAAATTAAAATCATAATTTTATAAATAAAAGTAAATTTTGATATTTTAATATTGTAGTTTAGTTATTTTTTTTTATTAGAATTTAGTTTTTGCATTAATTTAATATTATTTACCAATTTATAATAATTATTAAAAATAACTTAAAAATTTATGCGCAAGTTTCAAATATGGTTCAAGTAAAAACCTCTCTTTTACAAGTATATATAGATTTGCAAGATACAACACTCAACTTTCAAATATACTTGGACAACACCAAACTCTAAGAACCATCATACGTAAATGTGACAAGATCTTGTAACACAATAGCAAAATGTTCCTCAAGTAATGCAAAAGGGTCCTTATATTGATTAAGTTTAGACAATTTATCCACATTCCACTTGATCAAAGAAACACAAACGTCTCAAGGAATTTGATGAGCGTACGGCAAAAGAAACACCATGGGAATGGCAATTACTAATTACAAACTCGAGACAATCTCTTAAGCTAAGCTGAATGATGATGTAGTGCCTTCAACAAATTTCTTTGCTCCTTTGAACCATCTCTTGTCACCCGCTTGCGCCTTGCAGATGTAAAGTTTTCCGTCAGACACAGTGGCGGTGATCAGTTGATGCTTACCACCCTCGTCTCCATCAGCCGTCCTTGTTAACACAGACAACGAGTAGTATGGTTTTCCTCCGATCACCGGAGTTGCAACCTCCAATATATTTGCTGTTGCAACTGCATCTTGTTCAAATCCTCCCTAAAATATACACACATCATCAAAAGCCAAGTTTCATTTCATACATATAAATTAATGAAGGTGAAGGTGGTTACCTCAGATGCGGTTTTCCCGAAATAAGCTTGTTTCCCAAGCAAGTAATCCACCTGAAAACGATAAGATTATGCAATGTAAATCGATCTCATTCTTTGAGAGTTGCGGAGTTCCGTTTATATATTACCTTTGAGAGGAACTCTTCGGGGGAGCCATAATCGGTGATCGATTTCTTATCAGTAGGAGTAACCATGACGCTAAGATTGCTTGTGGTGTCGAAGTTGTCTTCATAACGAAGCACCTGACCAGGGAACTCTACCTCTTTGCTAGGGTTCCACTTCGCTGGGATCGACAGCTTGAATCCCGGACCATCGTAAGGCACGAAATCCGTGTTCGACTTCGGCTTCCCGAACACATTGGCTGCAATCAGAGAAAACCCATGATGTCAAGCTTCAAATTTCAGAACAAAGTTGAAATTTCTAAGATTCAAATTTGGAAAAGTACCTGCTTCACCATAGGCAGCATCTGCGGGAGAAACCTTGGAGCCAACAGCAGCTGCTCCGATGAGAACAGTGAGAGCTAACCGGCGAGATATTGATGCGTCGGCGGTTGTAGCTTCATCTCGTTTCTGTGAGCGGCAGACGATGAGTTGGTTGGGCTTGATCGGAGCCTGGCGAGATGAAGACGATGATGATCTGCAGGCTGGGGTTGAGAGAGCATGGAAACATGAAGTGGCAGCCATGGTTGTGGTGGAGAGAGGAGGCGGTGGTTTGGTGAGTGTGATTGCAGAAATGGAAGCCGAGGGTAAAGAAGAGATTAAGAGAAAGGATTGGTTGGAAATGGATGAGAGGAAGATGAGATTATTGGGTTTGGATAAGGGTGTATTGGCTGAAATCGGTGCCAACTGTGAACGAGATGATCTTCAACTGTACTCGGATTGTCAAGGTGGGGTACAAAGGGCCAAGGGGTGTGTCAAACCCGATTATCTAATAATAATATAACTAAAAATCGTAATAACTGGTTTTTCATGTATTAATTATTATTTTAGTTTAATAATCAGTATAATCATGAATTTGAATAGATTTACTTTACATAACATAATTTAAATGAACAAAAATCTGACTTTATAAAAATCTAGTGATAATGGTCAAAAAATAAGCCCAGCCCAATTAGAGCTGGATGGGTTCGACTTCGAGGTCCGAGGATGCGAGAGGTCAAGATTCTATACGTATAACCATGAACGATGGAAAATGGTCATTAACATTATTTTGTAAGGGTGTGCTCATCATATTTTTTATTGTCCCGTTAATTTTTTTGTTTCATCCTATAAAATTGGTGGGTGTTATATCGTATCTTACCACACTCACCACAATATATATTTTTATTAACAAAATACTACAATTGAAAGATGTGACTTTTTTTCTCGTACGGTAAAATTGTAACACACAAAACGTATACCACACTTTTGTTAGGGGGTCGGTGTGGTGTTTGCAGTGTACAGTACACACTATATACCGACCAGCCTAAGGTTTATAATTTTAAATGGCGGAAATCTACAAAAAAAAAAAAAAAAGTCTTTGTATTTTGGTTTATCACCGAAAAAGTTATTTCTAATTTTTTTTCCTTTTTTTTTTCAATTTAACTGTTAAAATTGATAAATACTTGTAAAATAATTATTGGAACTGGTTAGTGCCGGTTTTAAATGTTAAATTGCAAACAAAAAATAATGAATGATTTTTTCGTTAATAAAATTAAAATTTAAAAACTTTTCTGTAGATTTTCTTTTATATATATATATATATATATATATATATATATATATATATATATATATATATATATATACACTAAATTTATTTGAAGAAAACTTATGTATATTTATTAAAATACTCAAAATAAAGATAATTTTTTTTATTAAAAAACACAATAATAACAATTTATATGTCATTTTTGGAATTTGTAGTGATTCTATTTAATAAATATTATTACTACAATCATAAAGATAACATCTATATCATATATAACTTAAGAGGACCTTATTAATTTGTGGCAAGAAGTGTATTTATGGGTCAAATGCTACTTCATTGCTGAATGTTTAGATCTTGCGTGTAAAACGTTTACCATAAAACTATCACTTACCGAAGATCATTTCACAATCAAACGACACCTCAGAAAATAAAGATCTATCAGAAGTTGTTATTCGTTAATAGAGCTCCATTATACACACTATGTGTCCTAAAAAGTAGAAACGCATTTTTTACGACAAATCGCAACGAATCACACTATGGTTTTCCGCACATGAGATATTTGGGATTACACTCTGATATTGTTTATGATAACATGTTTTGATTATTTCTACTTTGATTTTGACATGACATGATATTATGGAGGTTTTCTTATATTGTTGGTTTAATAATAACTTACCAAAAATGAAATTTTTGGCCTGTAATTTTGGGATGTTACATACCACATGATAAATTATAATAGATATAGTTTATGGATTTCACACGTCACACATACTACACGAAAGGGGATTTTAACTCCACCATAGAAAAGGTTTTACACGCATACTACACGTAAACTCGTTATTGTAAATTGTGAGACTCGTCTTCATCGTACTCTTAGAGTATAGGTTAAAATTCCTGAAATAGTTATAACCAGAGTCTTTTGTATGGAGAGCGTGATAATTATGTATAGATCTATATTAGGATTGACAACCCACACCCATGCTGCTTGCAATAGTCCGATCGGCCGATCGGGGGTGACAAATGTCATTTCGATTCCGACGCCTGAAGAACGTCGCAGCAGACATCTCTGTTATAGTATGGTTATAGCGACTCACATAGGGAGATAACGAAACGTATATTTTATCGGGAATTTCTACTTTAAAATGGGTTTTATCCATTTAAAATTGCATACATCGTTACAAGTACGAACATACATACACTCGGTCTTGGGATTTAAGACTACATAACATTTGATAAGGAAAATATTGTATTTTTCTTGGGTATACATTACATTTACAAACAAAGGTTTTCAAACTTGGGATGCAATACTTGGTTTTATTTCAAATAATAAAACTACTATACATATTGGTGGTAATCATGGTTTTCAAACAGAACATAAAATACATACTGGTAAAAACCAGGGTTTTCAAACTCTACATTCAAAAGCTTATGAACTCACCAACTTATATGTTGACACTTTTTCGAAACTACTTATATTATCAGGAAATCAGTAAAACAAGTAACTCGTAGATTTTAAGGATGGGATGCTAACGTGTCAAACAGTTCATTTTGTCATCATAGTGTAATTGATTTTATAATATGTAAACTCATACTATGGTGTAACTTGTTCAATTATATTTATTATGGTTTTATTTACTCTGAGCACTATTATACTCGTTGTTATGATACTACACATGAAGTTCGTCACCCCCGGATGTTTCCGACATCTTTGGCTTGGGTGTGTGACACTTTGGCATTTAGGGCCCGAGACTGTCGTCCAGCTTGCCCCGGCAGATGGGTTTTCAAAATAATAAATTATGTACATATATAAGAAGGATTAGTGGGACAACCTTTATGAACTTTAGGTGGAATGAAAATAGCTACATGACAGTAGGTAGTGTTTGAGAAATTTAGAGTTGATAGGAAAGCGAGTTGCTTGTTATGTATTGGATCGAGGTGAGTACATACCTAAAGTACTTTTCACATACTAATTATTTGAAATGTTTTGAAAGTATTATTTATACTTATATGATTTGTTTGCTATGTGGACTTATAACATATGTGTGCATGGGATGAAAATGAATTTTGGGACATGTTTTGTATGAGAAATTATGTACGATTTGAGCATTGTTACTTATATATTACATGTAGAATGGTTTTTTAGGGGTCTATGTGACTTTATGATACACGTATAGAGTGAAATTCCCTAGAAATTTGTAGGATCATAGATCACGGCCCAAGGAGAAATGTACTCCTTTTGAAGGCTAAGATAGGCTTTGAAAACGTATTCCATGGAAAATATGTTTAATGATCACATGTTTATCGTAAAGCTTGGGACGGTGAGGAGGCTTCATGAAGTGTTGGCCTCTACAATGGTTTAAGCAGGATGCTTATTCGGAAATATCCAAATCGTTAATCCCGTATAATGTGAGGGACCAACTTGAGAATATAGGATTGGGATGGGTTAGTTTCATGTATATTGCATATTTATTATGAACTTATCTACTCTTAAAATTATTTTTTTTATTATGAAATGATTCATGAAATGGAAAATGATTTTGAAAATGATAGGTGATACAAGAAATGGTGTTGGAAGTGATTAAGGAAAATGTTATTATTTTGAAAAAAGTTTTTAAGGTGATTTTTGGGAATCTTGACGTAGAAATAAGGCATTGCCCTTCCTAATTCCTTTATGTAGTCGAATTATGATATTACTCACTAGGATCCCCAAGACTAATGTACTATTTTGACATGTGCTCGCAGGTGAAAATGAAGTTTAGAATAGTAAGCTTGGATATTAATTTAGAAGGTCATGCATGTGTCACACCCGAAATTTAGAGGGATAGTTATGGAAACAAAACATCAATTCTAAAGCTCAACTCGCCGAGTTTAAGGCAAAAACTCGACGAGTAGGAAATATGGGGCATGCGTGTTTTGGAAGATCAACTCGACGAGTTGGGGAGGTCCAACTCGACGAGTTGGCGCTGGAAGATGAAACCTTAATTTTAATGGTTTTGCATCCTATTTAACACCATAACCTTATAACCTGGCCTCATTTGCAGCCTCCATCGTCCCAAATCCTAGCCACAAAACCCTAATACATTTGTGAGAGTTTTGAGCCATTCTTGGTGCTTTCTTGAGGTTTTGAAGAAGAAGATACTTGAAGAAGGAGCAAGTAAGTGAAGGAGAAGAGTAGATCTAGAAGTTAAGCTCCATTTCTGGTTCATTGGAGGTACAAAGCCCCTATCTTGTCTATTCAATGTTTAGATCTAGTTTTGGAATGATTTCTCCATGTTTTGGTCCAAGTAAGCCAGCTTTTGAGACTTGGACGTCCGAATTAATTACTCTTTCAGATCTGTGGTCTATAAGGACTTTCATGGCATAAAGGTGCAAACTTTATGGCCATGAAAGTCCCATGTAAGCTTTAAGGTGTCAATTTGGCATTTTAAGCTCCAAAAGGTCATGCATGGAGGGAAAGCCAGGGATTTTACGTGTCCATATGATGTCTAGGGTCTAGATTGTAACACTCTGTACCGAATTGACTCATACTCTGAGGCGGTGGCTCGAAGGTTGGTCATTATAAGGATTGTGGCTCTTGGAAAGGTAAGATCTAGCCCCTTTTAGGTGCGGGTGATGTATTAGAAGTGATACGGGTATTCAGTTTGTGTTTTGGAGCCTAGGGGTATTTCGGTAAAGTGGGAGTTTGGGTTTTTGTGGAAAATGGATTTTTGTTCGGAAGGTCTTAAGAAAGGTTTGAGTTGTTAGAAGTATAAAGCTTCTCGTCACCTTTCCGTGGATATAAGGATCGTCGGAATCGGGCTTATAACGAAGAAGTTATGACCTTCAGAAGTTTTTGTGGTTTGCAGGCTTAGCCGAGTACACGGGGCGGGGCGTAACAAAGTGTACGCGGGGCATACTAGCAAAGAAGGTAGTACGTTGGGATTTGTACTCTGACATTATTATGACTTGTTTTGAAACATATGACTTATGAGTTTTTATGATATGGGATAACTCAATGATGTTTTTAACAATCTGTTTTATAATTATTAAATTAAAAATGAAATTTTTGGTTGTAAATTTTGGGATGTTACAACATGTATTGTTCATCTTAACCTTTGTAATGATATTTAAATTGGATGCCCCATACACCGTTTAATTAAAACCTATGGTTTAAAAGTTTTGGGACCGAATTCCACACTTTTCAAAATGATTTAAAAGGTTTTAAAATGATTTTAAAGGATACCCTAATTTGTACTAGCCCATACGAGAGATCATATACTCGTGTATGGTTAACATGCACTTATGTAGGGATGAACATCAGAACCGGGTACCCGCTTTTGGAACCGGAACCGCCTCGGAACTGCCGGTTTTGGAGCTGGAACCGCCTTAAGCGGTTCCGATTCCGGTTCCGATTTGAGCAGTTCCGGTTCTTGTTTTTTTTGGAACCGCTACCCGCAGGGTACCCGCTGGAACTGATTAATATATATATATATATATATATATATATATATATATATATATATATATATATATTATCTCATATAAATGTGTGCTACTTAGACCGGTTTAGAATATATTGGTCCGATTTTGTCTGTCTTTGGTCCAAATTGATTTCATTTGGATTAAACTAAATTGCGGTTTTGTTGAAAAAAATAACAAAATTAATGTGATCGGGTTACCCGCTCCCGGAACCGGAACCGCCGATTCCGGGACTAGTTCCAAACATTTAAGAACTACCTAGAGCGGTTTCGGTTCCGGTTCCGGTTCCGGTTCTCGCCAAATGAGGCGGGTACCCGCCTACGCTCATCCCTACACTTATGTATGTTTGTGGACGTGGCATGGTCTTCATGGACCATTAATGAGAGTTTTCTTATTCACGTTGGTGTTGATTCTTGTAATACTACTTTAGTTATAGTCAATAAAATGGTATTCTATGATTATCAATAACCTAAAAGGCTAAAGCCTACTCCCCCTTAATGTATGAGTAATAATTATAGCTATCAAATGTATTAAAACGAATGTTTCTTGATTACTTGCAACACATTCATATTTCTCAATCGATTATCCACATGCACAAACAAAAATGATGATCCTTGCTCCTTTTTGCGATGAAAGAGGCAACATACAAAGACACCAACAATAACAATCTTTTGAAAATTTTGGACCTTTAATCTTATCTTCACGGTTCACAATGTGTTTTCGATGGCATTAATAATCATTTCATTATAGTTCACAATTTGATAATCAATCCAACTATGGTATAATTATACTTTAACAGAAAGAGACAAAAATCGGTCCTAAATGAACAAATACGTAAAATATGTATTTTTATTATATAAATTTAACCATATTTCATGTTATAACATTGATATATACTTATTACCTATCACAGAATGGACTAAGATTGTAATTAGATAAAAAAAACCATAAGATCAATGACTCTAATATCAAAACCCTAAATTAATATCGGATATGATAAAAGTAACTTTATATGTATATTTATTTAACAATATATCATAAGATAATAATTATATCTAATTTATTATTTTATTAAACAATTAATATAACAAACTGAAATGACATAAAAACTTTTAAGGTATGTTGGAAATGTGCCTTGTTATATTTAAATAAATAAAGAAACATATGCATATAGATTAGGTTTAAATATGGATGACATCTATTATGTGGATATGTGTGGATAATGTTATTCTGTGAGAATGATTAAGATGATAAATTGCTTGATAATATGAATACGTTCAACATCACATAATTATTGTTACTATCATGCATTTTCACTAATTCTCATTAATTCTTGTTTCACATATCGTTATTCACTCGTTCTAGTTCTTACAAAATACGATTACCAATAACATATTTTGACAACATTATGACAAAACGAGAACCATAAAAAAGGTTCATACTACCTTATAACCCTTATAAACAATTTAATTACTGAGAATACGTGATAACAACTATAGTTATGTGATGTTGAATATATTCATATTATGTGAGAATGTATTCATATTATCAAACAATTTATTTTCTTAGTAATTCTCACATGATAACATTGTCCACACATGTTCGCACAATAAATATGCATCCACATATGAATCTAACTCTATGAATACATATATAAATACATACATGTTACTATTATTACAATATATCATTTATTATTAAGAACTACTTACCTTAATAAAAACGAAAAATCAAAAGTCAGCAAATGGTGATTTGTTTCACTAATGTGATTTAAGTGTAATGAGATTACTTTGTGTTACCAAAAATGATCTTGATAAATATTAAACAAGTAAGGAAGGTGTAGAGTGCACACTTGTTTAAACTTATTCAAGATTAAAAGTAGACTGACATTTAGGGGCGAAGCCCCTGAACAAACGGGGGTCCAGAGCAGTGCCCCTAGGAGCGAGGTCCAAGGGCGACAGCCCTTGACGGGGTCCAAGTGATTAATCATTATAGAAAACCCAGATTTATGACAGTTTTTTGACTATTGCCACGAAATTCATATATCTCATTCTCTGTTCTTTTCTCTTCTGAGTCTTATCCAATCAATGATTACGGAGTACCACCAAATACTTTGATTTGATAGTGAAATCACAATTCTCAGAATTTCCAATGCTATTATTATCTCATTTTTCTAACACTTAATTGATTTAAGTTCGTGATATATCATTTCTTCCTTTAAAATGTGAAATATCGAGATATCGTTAAGAGTTAAATATGTATAATCATAATCTAAATCAAACTTTTACTTTATACACTATATAGTAAATAATAGAGTAAAATACACGAACGGTCCCTATGGTTTAGGGTAATTTGCGCGTTTGGTCCCTAACTTATTTTTTAAACTCGAAAGGTCCCTATTGTTTGTTTTTGTTACGCACTTGGTCCTTGTTTTACCTAAAAAATACTATTTTGCCTTTGATTTTTATAATTTATTTAAATAAACACACCCCCAACCCCAACCCCATCCCTTCACCTTATCTTACTTACCCCAACATTTTTTCCTGTTTAAATAATAGTCTTTTTAGTAAGACCAGGGGCGGCTTCAACCAAATTGGGGGCTCTAAGCGAACCAAAAATTTGGGGCCCTTTGGCCTTTATTATACTTAATGTTATCACAATTAGTTCTTCATAGCCTTGACCTTGAGAAAACTCAAATTCGTTCATACTTCCAACAAAAATAGTCCCAAACCCGATTCAATAGTAATGTACTACAAATTTAAAGTTCAAACTAGACTACAAAATTTTGGTCTGAAATTACACTGAGTTATAAATGTTTGGTTGGCCTGAAGGAATGGAATGCATTATCACATGACAAAATTAACAACTTGGAATGAATCACATTCCATCAGGAATGTTTCATTCAACATAAACATGTTTTTCTTCTTCATTCCTATGGAATGAACCATTCCATTTCTTCCATGATTCCGTCATGATCATACTAAGCACTATCTAATTTCAATGAATCAAAATTATCATGGATTTGCATAATAGAACCTCATCATCATCCTCTTCTTCTGTAGAAATGTTTTTTCCATCCACTTGATCTCCTTTCCCAAGAGATCCCTCCATAACTTCAAGTTCATTAGATTGGGTATCCTGCCTGGAAATCTCTGTGGCTGAAGTTCTAATTACTGCTTTCTTATTAATTATTTCCTCTCTAAGCCAATTTGGCACTGAAACCTAAATAGTCTTCTAATCTGAGATACATAGTAGAAAACAACACAAAGAAATGATATTATATGCTCCTAACTATACCTTTTTATTTCTTTCAGGAAATCCATGGGTCCCATATGTATCAATAGGGAAGCCACTTGTTACATGAAATGCATTTGATGCCCGAATAGGAAAAGTTGCATTTCCAGATGCCATGGTTGGTTGGAAGCTTGATCTTCCAAATGAAGGTGTGCGGTGCATACCACAGGATATTACCCATGTTGGGTCATGATCATGACTGAATCTTGGCCCAAAATCTAAAGATTGACTGCTAAGATCGGTTGTTGAGTCAAAAAGACTGAAAACTGTTATAGAAATAACACATTAAACATTAATCCTAATAGATAATCTGATAGACAGATAATCAGATTCAGATATTCGTATAATGGAAGGTCTAAAACTGCTACAAATATAACATATCAAACGTAATCCTAATAGAGCAGCTGAGAATCAGATTGGCAGAGTATTAGAGGAAGAAGAAAAGCAGTCGTTGGGTTATTAGAGGAAGAAAATTCGATTATCAAACATAAGAAGAATCGAGAATCAACTAATCGGATTATCATATTATCAGAGGAAGAACCGAAGAAGAAGAACATATCAAACTTAACATGTCGTTTCTTTGTTTCAATCAATATTGCAGATTGGTAATGGTTGCTTCTTGCTTCTGCCGAGAATGGAAAATCAAAGAATGAGAAGCCGAGAAGGAAGATTGGAACAGCCTATAGTCACTTGGTTTTGATGATTTCTTGTGGCATCCACGATTCGAAGAACCATTGAGATTTGGGTTAAGGGGCCCCTTAGAATTGGGGCCTTAAGCCCTTGCTTAGTTTTACTTGAAGTAAGGTCTAATAAAAACAAACAATATGGACATTCCGAGTTAAAAAAATAAGTTAAGGACCAAGCATGCAAATTACCCCAAACCATAAGGACCATTTGTGTAATTTACTTAAATTTCATTCATTTTAGAACAAATATATTCATTGATTTCTGAAAAACAACATGTTTTAATTTTTAATCTATAGAAAATGGCTCTTACATTCTAATAATTATACCATAATTAATAATTTAGTTTAAAATAAATCTGAAGACTTTGTTCTAGTTTTGCAATTAAAAAACACAGTTTTCCATGCAATTATCTCTATTCCTTTGATCCGATTTGCGATTTATCAGGGTTTCTATATATATTTTTGATTTTTCTCATTAGTGTGGTGTCCAGATTTTTCTTCTCTATATTTTCTGAAATTCTTGGCCCACTCTTCCCTCACCCTCTCTCTACTTCCAAACTCCCTTTTGCTTCTCAGATTTTGTCTTTCGGTGGCTTTGCGTGCACTGCTTCCCCATTACAACCGGTCCCTAATCTATGCTTGCAAAATCTGAGCAGTGCGCCATGTGGGTCTTTCGATTCTCATAAAACAATAAGTGGGTTTAGATTAAATCGCATCTACAGTAAGTTTTTCAACACCATTATGTTTCTTTTAGATCAGTGCTTAATTTTCTCAAATGCCTTTAATATATCTGACGATTTACAGCTGTAATTGCACTAGTATATACTTTATCTAATGTCTTGTTGGAATTCTTCCAATTTTCTCTTTATGTTGTCAGGCATTGGGATTTGATTTGGGATTAGTTGCTCTGTTGTAAACCTAGTAATTGGAAATTGGAAGGTGGGTTTTTCGTTTTCGCTTGTTAATGTTAATTTTAGCTTAATCGCGCCGCAAAATCCGACAATTGAGATGTGTTTTCCCCTTTCCGTTTTGTTGACAGGATACGGAAGGAGATGGATTAGCAGACGTCGGGGGGTTATACGACTTCATAACTCGTAATTGTCGCCAAAAATGTCATCCGGGAGTTTAAATACACAATTATCGAAGAAGACTTCAATTATGGGTCTTAAACTATGGGTAGTGATCTGCCTCTGTGTTGGTATGTTTATCTGTGTGTTTCTCTTTTTCTTATCAATGTGGGTCACATGCCAAAGAAAATCTCGAAGAAGATCAGACAGTTACCCCCTTTCCCAGATACCAAATGTCCCAAAAGACATCAGGGTAGATAGAGTCGGAGGTTCACATTTTCATAACCACAACAATCTTGAACATTCATCAGCAACCACTAATGATGAACCGACGAATAAGAATTCAGGAAAAATGATATTTCAACTTGGAGTGAGCAAATCTGGTGATGCTGATAATGTAAGTCAAAGCAGTTCTATTTATGAAAGGGGATCCAAGTCAAAGTCAGGTGAAGAAGGAACTTCTGGAATGGTCTGGAAGCAATCTTCATCTCCATTTATAGGGTTACCTGAAACCTCACATTTAGGGTGGGGACACTGGTTTACTTTGAGAGACCTTGAACAAGCAACACGCCGTTTCTCCCATGAAAATGTGGTTGGTGAGGGTGGATATGGGATTGTATATAAAGGGACATTGATCAATGGGACAGAGGTAGCAGTGAAGAAGCTTCTTAACAATCTGTGAGTATGAGTATAACTTTAAGCTATGAAATGAATGTTTTATAATTTTGTATCATGTTTATATGCATAGGGGACAGGCTGAAAAAGAGTTTAGAGTTGAAGTGGAGGCTATAGGACATGTTCGACACAAGAATCTTGTGCGACTTCTAGGCTACTGCATAGAAGGAACACATAGGTGTGTGTGTGTGTGTGTGTGTGTTATTAACTTATTCAATGCACCTAACTTCTTATTTCTTGTGATTCTTTCTATTTGTTATTGAATTATGGTTTGTATTTGCTTGAATAAACTTAGGATGCTTGTTTATGAATATGTGGACAATGGAAACCTTGAACAATGGCTTCATGGAGATGTTCGGGAATGTGGTGTTCTTACATGGGAAGCTCGCATGAAGGTCCTTCTTGGTATTGCAAAAGCGTAAGTGAATCTTTATAAGTTCAAACGTGTTACAAGTTTCACAACTTTTCAAGAATCAAGATTTTGATCCTTTTTCATCAAAACTGATTTCACAGGCTTGCTTACTTGCATGAAGCTATAGAACCAAAAGTTGTGCATCGAGACATAAAATCTAGCAATATTTTAATTGACCATGACTTCAACGGGAAGCTTTCTGATTTTGGATTGGCCAAGCTTTTGGATGCAGGAGAAAGTCACATAAATACAAGAGTTATGGGAACATTCGGGTATGAATATATGATTATCTTGTAATGTGACCTAAAAAAGGAGTGATGAAATATACTAAATAATTTCTTCATGTTTTGATTTACAGTTATGTGGCTCCAGAATACGCGAATACTGGCATGTTAAATGAAAAAAGTGATATTTATAGTTTTGGTGTGTTGCTTCTAGAAGCAGTAACTGGAAGGGATCCAGTGGATTACAATCGCTCTGCTAATGAGGTACTACCAATGGATTTGATATTGTATAATTGTATCAAGGTTGAAATGTTTTTTCTATATAAAATGTAAGTATTTTTTTTTTTTTGGAACTAATGGTAGGTGAATCTTGTTGAGTGGCTTAAAATGATGGTGGGAAATAGAAGAGCTGAGGAAGTTGTTGACCCGAGTCTTGACCCGAAACCCTCGACGCATGCTTTAAAACGTGCACTTTTAGTGGCTCTTAGATGTGTTGATCCTGACTCTGAGAAACGACCTAAAATGAGTCAAGTTGTCAGAATGCTTGATGCAGATTTCCCATATCGTGAGGTACTTATAACTTATAATCATTATGATGCTGAAAAGACAAAACTACCCTCTGCTGGTATGCTGTTTTGACCGATGGTTGACTTTTGAAAACAGGAAAGAAGGAACAGGAGGAGCCGGACTGCCAGCATGGACAGTGAAACCATGGGTGGTACTGCTGACATAGAACGCCCGGGCCCGGTGGTTAAATCGGAAATCTAACAGAGTTAACAGAAAACCGTTAAAAGTTTAACGGGTTGCAATCGTTCTTGTTAGATTACTAACAGGAGGGAGTGGTGGGGGTATTTGAGTGGAAGAGAGATGTAAATCACTTGTCACATAACAAAGACAAAACAAGGGCCAAGGTTTATTTATTTCTTTTTCTTTTTCTTTTTCTTTTGTGTTGATAATAATCAAAGATCAATCAAGTTTTTGGTTCAATTATCTATCTTATTCAGTTTGGATGGACAACTGTTAGTTGATATAAATATCGTGCTGTTAAGTCGTTCCAACTTTTAAACAAATTTGTCTTCATATATTTCTTTCCATTTCTTTTTAGTATAATATATCCGGACATTATTTAAGTGGGAAAAGGAAATAGTACCATGATCTCATTTGCATGTGTGTAAAGTTGGAAACCCAATCACTACAGGTGTTCCAAGATTGTATTTTTGTAATCATGCCAATCACATTATTATGTTTTTCTTGTCTTGTAATTACCTCAATCACATTATTTTGCTTTTATTGTAATCAATCGTATTACTTTTTCTAATGTTATAATTCATATTAATAACCATCATCGCAGGTGCTAGGATGTGTTTTAAAACTTTTTAGACTGGGAAGCGGGGTTTTACTTTATATTGACTTGGTATGCAAACGTGGCATTTTTTATTTGCTCGTCATTATATTTTTGTAATGTGACTTATAGATAACATGACGTTTAAAATTATTTATGAATATTTCCTTCAATAGAGATCATTTTAAAATTTTAAATAATTTTTTTAATTAAAAATTTCAAACCAAATCTAAATACAACAGCCTTTACCAAAACCACATGTAACTCTAAACTAAAACTAAAACCAAAAATAGAAGAAACACGTCATTTCCTTAGTATGTACTCGTCGTGTACACGTGTTATACCACGTGGTAGCTGACAGCACTAATGTGCCAAAATAAATCCAACTCGATATGCAAGTTGATTGCTAGATAAAAAATGAAGTATGTTGCCGATTTTAGAAAAAAAGAAAATGAATATTCATTCTGTTTGTTGGATATAATGTTTTCAGAATAAATACTATGTACAAAATAAAGATACCTCCATACATGGAATGAGAAAAGAAGGATAAATATGTAAAACTTTAGGACTTAATAGGAAAAGATACGCATCCGTTGTTTTCTCTATTAAGTTGTTTACATTAAGTGAAAGAAAAACACAAATATATAGATCATTATGATTAGTAAAAAAGAAGACACGATCTCAAACTGATTACCAAAAACAGTGAATTCAGTAGCCTCAAGTTAGTTAGCAAATATAAAGTTTCACACTATAACATCATTTTTCACACATGATTGATTGGTTTGAGTTTCACCCTATGAGAAACAAAACAGTAAACACGAGATCAAGGTTGATGGTGGTATGAATCGGTTGTTTGTTCGGGTGGTTGTGTATCATCTGATTGTCTAAACGCAGGAACATCCGGATAATATGCACTTCCTTCCTGCTGTTGCTGCTGCTGACTCTCATTCCCCTGCACAAACACCGGAATGTCATTCCCATTCCCTTGAGTGTCAGCAGAGATTTCCCTCACGTCCGCTATTCTTGCTTCTGTTGCCTCTATATCATTCCATCCCCCAGTTTGATCAGGATACACCAAACTCCTTTCCGACACAGGAATATTCCTGGAGTCACTAAGGCTTGCTTTATCCACATTCTTGACCGTTGGATGCACATGTTTTGTGAGGGGTTGCGTATCACCGGAGCATGACTCTACTCTCTCCTCAAGCACTTGCTTTGTATTTTCCTCCTGCCTGCTGATAAAACACAACTGCCACGTCAGCAACAAGCAAATCACAATGTCCATAGAGCAAGAGATAAACAAGAAAACTTTTTGCCCTTGCATCAAAATTGAAGAAATACCATACGGACCAAATTTGTAAATTTCTCTTTTTTTTTTTTTTATTAAGGTTTATAAAATTCAATATGCACATATAATAACTTTTTGATATTTTTAGGGTATATTGTAAATTAAATTATTTGTTAATATATTAATTTGAATACTATTTTAAAATACATTATTCTTTTATTATATACCTTGTACATGGTGTGCTAGATAACAAATAAAAGATTAATATATTTCAGAATAGAAAGTTACAGTAATATATAAATAATTTCAGATTAACATATTAATAAAAAATTCAATGCATAATATACATTTAGATATAATATAAGATTTAAAAATCATATGCACATATGAAATGTTATGAACCTCAATTCAAAAATAAGAGAAATATACAAATTTGGTCCAGGTAGTATCCTGTTTATTTTTCCAGTTTTGGTCCAAGGGCAAAATGGTTATTTTAAAAAATTTAACAGCTTGGCTGATAACTTAGATGACAAGGGACCAGAATCATTAGGAAAGTTAAAAATAAGGAGCAAGTTTTTAAGATAACTTTTTGGGACCAAAATGCAAAGAAATATCTATATACTTAGGGACCAAAAATGTAATGTACTCTAGTCTCTTAATAAAACCTTTTAAGTTGTAGTTGTAGAACATGAATGCATGCCAAAAGCTCTTGATTCTCTTTTCTCAGGACACTTTCTTTCTCTGTTGCCTCTTTTATTACAGCTTCAACCTCAGCATCTTTAACCCTAACCTTCTCTTCAGCTCTCACAACAGCTCCTTCTAGAATCACTACACGTTCCCTAGCTTTTCCCAGCTCAGACCTCCATAAAAGTGCCTCTTGATGAGAAGAGTCTCGTTGTTTAATAAGTTGCTCTCTTTCTTTACTTAAAACCATTATTTTCTCTTCAGAATCCCTTAGCTATAAAAAAACCAATATTCCATTTTTGGTTAAAATCATCATATAACTTAAGCATGCTTCTTTATGTAAACATATATATAAACAAAAACCTTTGAAGTGTAAGAAATGGCTTGTTTTTCTAACTCCTTTCTTAAGCGGTCAACTTCTGAAGCTGCCAATCTTCGTTGCTCATCCATTGTATGAGCTGCAGATGCTGCACTCTGTGCAGCATCTGCTGTTTCAGTTAGCTTTTCTGCTATCTCTTTTATTGTTGAATCCCTTGCACGAATATCCCTTGATAAATTTTGCAGCTCCTCATCTTTTACTTTTAATGTCTCCTGTAAGTAAAAATACCAATTTATATAATCCTCTGTTTTTGAAGGATTGATTTAAAAATACCAAATTATATATACCTTCATGATTGTCAAATCATCCAATGGGCCATCAGGTGCTTTGTTCAACACAGATCCCAAAGCATTTCTTCTTGCTATCTGCATGGCTGCTTCAATTTCTTTGGAGGATTCAAGGGCAGTTGAATTTGCAGCAGTTACAACAGCAGATACTGTTCCTAGTTTTGCAGAACTATTTCCAGCTAATGAGTTCACAGCCTCTTTATGAGCCCTTAATACCAGTTGTGTTGCACTGTTGTTTGTGTAAAGGATAAAAACATACATCAGTAAGTTAACTTTTTTGTTAAGTTTTTATAAAAGGAATGAATAACTTACTGCAATGTCGCCACCCAAGCTCTAGCTGCACCTGGAGTTTCTGCACAGAGGAAATATTCTTTTTTCTGTGGTGTTGCAATATCTAATAATATCAAGTCAGGGGAATACATCATACATGCAACAGTTTCTTTTTTATATTTGAGATATTGTAACAAAATAAATATGTGAATGAATATAATATTAGCATATGCAATACAGAAATAGTGGTGGATACAAATAATGCAGTTGTCATACTTCGGTAGTCCACTGAAAGTTTTTTAAAAAAAAAATGTATATATTAGATTAGAATCATGATAATCATCCAAGTTAGAGCATATGTATTTCAGATTCATGGTATGGTGTTCAGTAGTGATCTTACTGGAAGTTATAGGGTGATGTCATTATTGTGCTATTTGAATCAAAGATGATTGTTCCTTTGACAGTTGGATCGTTTCTCCTGATTCTGCAGATGATTATATTTGTTAGAAATAGGCAGATGCTTCAATGAAAGAAAGTATATGATCTTACTTGTATTCCATTTTTCCTGTTGTTGGGTCTAAGATTATCCATCTCTCATTCCATTTCCTCAGCTGTTAACATAAAACAGTTGAAGCTAGAGGTCAGATAAATAATAATTATAGATCATAATTTCTTATGCTTGATTAATCATACACCATAAGATGACAATGTTAAACATTACAATAATTATTTGATCGTTTATCCCATGTTGCAAATCAATACATGCACCTTAACACTTGAAGATTTTTTACTTGATTCTTCTTTAATGGTGCACGACCTTGGGCCATCTATGGTTATTTTCAATTGCTTACTGTGTTGTCAGTTCTAATGATTCTTGTGTCAAGCAAATAAAAGATATCAAGTCAATTTATACAAACAAATTGCTTGAATTATATGAACAAGGTATATAGTAGTTGTCAAAATCATGGGTTCATATAATGACCATGATAGGATATTTAATATTATGTCAAGTTCATGCACCTTTGTATGTTCTAATGCACCTAAATTTCAAGATTCAAGAACGAATTTCAAATGCATGGGAGAATGATGAGACGCCATGAAATTGTTTCATTTATCAAGCAGTCCATTGTTCTTGATCTTGGGATAAATCTCATAAACTATAGCTTCCACCAAATATCTGGGGATTTAGAATTCTACTGTTTCCCAGTAAAGTTAGGGTTTTATTTCCCTGCAAGTCAAGTCATAATCCACAAGGCTTCATAATTTCCTTGCCACATGATAAACAGTTTGCTTAAACTATGGAAGGATTCTCTTTCTATTGAGTAATCAATCTATCCCAAATTTGATTGTTTTCATCCCTCTCACAGCATTTAACTATATAAGAGTCTTACTTCCAAAATTGCATTCTGATCGCTAAATTACTTTAAAACCTACCCAGTCATCCAGATTTGATGCCATAAGGTAAATTAGGGAAGGAACAATAAACAATCGAGCTAATTCTGTAGTTGAATAATGAAGTCAATTTCAAAGTAAAAGGGATGAAGAATCAATTAAGTACCGTTTCAGATCGCTTGAGAAGAGGACCCTGCAAGAGATTTCTACCCGACCCAGATGCCAATTGTCGTTTAATCTTATCCAAACTGGCCTCTGTAGCATTAACCACATCTCCATCTCTCTAATAGATGCAAGTAAAACATCCAAATTCGATCAAAACCGAACTCAATCAGAAAATCATGGAAGAGGACGATCCAAAAACAGGGAAGGAAAGAAACTGACCGGAGAAGAAGCCCCATTGGTAGCCATAGTAGTAAAGATAATTTGTCAGCTGGTCTCCTGAGGGAGAAGAGATGAATCCGGACTCAGAAATGAACGATGATTCTGGTGATCTTGAAGGGTGTGGTGTGTTAGGTTTATGACTTGTAGTTGTAGTTGTTAGTTTTTTCACACTTGCTAGATCAATATTCGATACCGTAACGGTGGTTCCTTTTCTGCACCGCAAGGGGGTGTTGTGCCGTAACAGATGGTGCTAATAATA